ATTTTATCATATATTAAATTCTCATATGTAATTGGATTTGTTTAAGGACCACCCGGTTTGTTCTATGGGTCTGTCTGTTTATGTACCAGGACAAAACAATTTTAATTATATATTTATAATACATTTTTAATGTCTGGTAAAACTAGTTTTCTTTCATTACTTTTTCTTGCCTTCAACAAAATGTCTGGGTTATACTTTTGTGCTTATATTTCCATGCTAAGTTTAGAATCGGCTTCCAGAGGTCTGGAAAAAATCTTGCCTTTGTAATCATATTAAATGTTAAGGTTGATTTCAGGAGAATTTTATAAAATTTAAGGACCCTCTCCTAGTGTGGGGTTGGCTGTTTTTTTTTTTTTTTTTTTGAGACGGAGTCTCGCTCTGTTGCCCAGGCTGGAGTGCAGTGGCCGGATCTCAGCTCACTGCAAGCTCCGCCTCCCGGTTTACACCATTCTCCTGCCTCAGCCTCCCGAGTAGCTGGGACTACAGGCGCCTGCCACCACGCCCAGCTAGTTTTTTGTATTGGGGTTGGCTTTTCTTTTTGCTCAATTTTTCTTTTATTTTTTCTTCAGTTTTCTTCATATATATCTTACACATTTCTAGGCATGCCTTTCTTTTTGTATGCTATTATAAATGGAATTTTTTCCCCTTCCATTATACTTTCTACCTGATTATTGCTTTTATATAGGAAAGCTATTGATTTTTATATATTAGTTTTGTTCCTCCAAAATAATATGCAATAATATACAAATATATATTTGCTGGGAACCAAAAATAATATACTATTCTATCCAATTATGGAATATATGTAGAGTTCTCGCTCTTTTTTTTTTTTTTTTGAGACAGAGTCTTGCTCTGTCACCCAGGCTGGAGTACAGTGGTGTGATCATGGCTCACTGTGACCTTCACCTCCTGGGCTTAGGTGATCCTTCCACCTCAGCCCCCAAGTAGCTGGGACTACAGACATGAGCCATCACACCTGTCTAAGTTTTTGTATTTTTTGTAGAGACAGGCTTTTACCATGTTGTCCAGGCTGGTCTCAAACTCCTGAGCTCAAGTGGTCTTCCCACCTCAGCCTCCCAAAGTGTTGGGATTACAGGCATAAGCCATCATGCCAGACCTATTCTATCCTCTCCTATGCAATTCTTATTTGTAACAGTTTTTCTGCGATTGGTTCCTCTGGATTTCCAAGTAGATCATCATATCATCTCCAATACTGCCTAGTTTTTAGACCTTTCTGACTACCCCACTACTTGTAAACAGGGCAGGTTTTTCTGAGAGATGTTCCTATCTGAGTGGTGCACTTATGGTGAACACCCAACTTCAAAAGGCTACTTGAAAGGATTTAGGGGGCTGCACTTAGCCACCGGCCTTGGAATTGGCCTCATAGAAAACTTGCTGTGCTTTGTGAAAGCTCGGGCCCGCAGAGGCGCTGATGTTCAGTGTCAGCACAGACCTATTATTAGCTGTCCAGGGACAGGAGATTCCACTTTAATGCTGAGCCTTCAGAACTACGTTGCAAACAAAATGACTGGCATTTTCTCAGACAGCAGTTCCAAGTGGAAACGGCCCAGTTGTGCTGTCTCCGTACGTAGGGCTGGAAAACTCTGTGAATGGCAGTTACGCAGCTTTGCATCTGACACTTCCTGACATCTGGCAAACACTCGTTCCATCCAGGACCAGATAAAACAAATGGTGCCTTATTCACAGGAGTCTAACAGCCTCACAGAGCCGGTGAGTAACAACGCCTTTGTGTGGCCTGTGTCCGGCCCAGAGCTAGCAGGTTGCCTGTACCAGGCGCTGGAAGAGGTCAGCACTTCTGATTCCGTCACCGAAACTGGTCCCCACCACGGCAGCTCACTTCTCAGAACCGGCCAGCTCCTTCCTGCTGGGTTGAACACATCCTCATTCTTCACAGGCACAGAATGGCTTCATCTGGATTGTTAGTTACCTAAGAGCACACCTCTGAAAGTCTCTGTTTTGTTACATTTTTTCAGTATTTTATGCACAAAATTTTTGTGAAGTTAGAACATAACACCAAGAAACGGAATCCTGCATTATTTTTCTTTTCTTTTTTCTTTTCTTTTCTTTTTCTTTTTCTTTTTTTTTTTGAGGCAGGGTCTCACTCTGTCCCCCAGGCTGGGGTGCAGTGGAGCAGTCACAGCTCATTGCAGCTTTGACTCCCCTGGGCTCGAGCGATCCTCCCACCTCAGCCTCCTGAGTAGCTGGGACCACAGGCATGCACTGCCATGCCCAGCTGTTTTGTATTTTTTGTAAAGATGGGGTCTCGCTATGTTGCCCAGGCTGGTCTAGAACTCCTAGGCTCAAGTGATCCTCCCACTCTGGCCTCCCAAAGTGCTGGCACTACAGGCATGAGCCACTGTGCCTGGCCCTGCAGTCTTTTTCTGATTTGACCATGTGTCTCTTGGCAGCTACAGTCAACTCTTTGGTCTCAAGTTGTCTGGTCGACACAGTGGGCTCCTCACGCCGAGACACATGACCTGCAGCCCCACACATGTGAGATGCCGCGGACGACAGTGCAGCCATGACAGACTTGGCGGGGCTGGTGCAGGCAGCAGTGGAACTGTTTGGGGCCCAGCATCTCTGAATGGAAACATTTTTTGCAGCTTATTTGTTTTAGAACCTTGGCTTTTCAGCCTATATGATCCATGGCATTCCTTAAAAATTAATTTCCTCTCTGCTGAGAAAATAGAGGTGGAGAGTCATTTTCATGCCACCGAATGACCTTTTAAAAGAGTGAGTCCTTTCTAAGGGGGAATAGCTTTATTTCCTTCTGTCAAATGTTTCATTCGTTCCCCAGAGGAGCCCGTGAAGTAGACATTAGGTGATAAGCAGACATGATCGTTTTACAGATGTGGGAAAAGACTGACCTGCTCCAGGCCACACGGATGGAGTCAGGAAGGCGCAGACTGGGTCAGTGGGGTCCAATGCACAGGCGCTTTGTACGGTCTTGTCATATGTTTTTATGGAGGTAAAGTTCACATCACATAAAATTAACCATTTTAAAGCGAACAACTCAGCGGCATTTAATACATTCATCGTCTTGTGCAACTGCCACCTCTCTCTTGTTCCAAAGCGTTCTCACCACCCCAAAGGAAACCCCACTCCACTAAGGAGTCACTCCTCATCTCCTCTCCTCCTAGTCCTCAGCAAGCACCAGTCTCCTTTCTGTCTCTATGAATTTGCCTATTTGGGGTATTTCATAGAAATGGGCTCATATGATTGATGGGCTTTGTGTCTGGCTTCTTTCCCCGGCATGGTGCTGTCAGGGTCCATCCGTGTGATACAATGAATCAGTACTTCATTCCTTTTTCCTGGCTGAATAATATTCTGTTGTATGGATATGCCACATTTTGTTTCCCCATTCATCCGTTGATGGGCACTTGCATCATTTCCACCCTTTGCCTGTTGAGAGCAGCGCAGCTGTGAACATGTGTGTACAAGTATCTGGTAACCAGTTCCCTCCATGATTTTCTGCAGTCTTGCAGTTTCTGTGACCTGATAACTCTGCTCCAGGGTGAAAAGGAATCATCTGTGGTTTGCCACCTACTCCTGGATACGGCGCGTATCTCTTTGTTCCATGCACAGAGGCTGGGGCTACTCTACACAGGGCTTGAAGGCAGCCTCCAGTCTTGCAGGCAAATTCAGAGGCATATAATTGAAAAGCCTATCCGGGAGGCCAAAATGAATCCCGATTGGGAAAACTCGCTGGACCCGTCTGTCACAGTGTTGAAAAAGTTGTCTCGGGAAGAGGCTTCCTCTGGCTGTCTAGATTTGAGACCATTGCAGTTCCTTTAAGATCCCAAGCAAAAACCACGGTGATGGGAGGATGCATTGGCTTTACTAAGGAGCCCATGTTTTTAAAACTTGTAAAGTGAGTCTAATTGGAGAAGCAGCAGAAAGCACCTCAGGAGAAGTCCTTCCTTTTTGTACAAAGGACTGGTGGTGAGCCCTTCCTTGGACTTCTTGTGGCCTACACTGGAGTCTTGTCCCTGCACAGGGCCATCATTAGTAGGAGCCCTCAGAGCCTCAGTTAGGGTATGTGGAGCCCAAATTACCAAAGGGGTTTTCCTTTGCATGAGCTACCTGATTTCGCACCTTTCAAAAACAAGCATGGGATTTTTACCCAGGGAAGGAAGCACGTGTGTGAAGTCCGTGCATGTTACCCAGGGTTTTTTCCCTCCTGCACCACCCGGTTGCTAGGTAGCGGGTGTATCTGTGCTACCACCTGAAGTTCTGTGGGAAGGGGGAACCCTCGGGGCCACTGGAGGCTTGTGGTGGGGAGGGGAGCCAGACAGGAGAGCAAAGACCCAGGCAGCTTCAGTCGCTCCTCTTCATCACTTAATTCTGAGGGCGCTTGAGTTTCCGAGCTTTCTGGAGTAGAGCCCAGGGCAGCTTTCACCTTGATGTGCTGATTGGTTGCCTGTCGGTTGCAGGAGTCCCCCGGCCTCCTGCAGGGAAGATCTTGTGCTGTTTTCCCAGGGACGGAGGGAAAAGCACCAACCCCAAGCCCTGTGTGGCTGAGAGCTGTTTGCCTCCATCTCTGTCCAAGCTTTTCACCACAGCTCTGTGAAAGAAAAACTGGCAGTGAGGGGTATAGCCATCTTGGTGTGTGTGTGTGTGCACGTGTGTGTGCATGTGTATTTGTGTGCATGTGTGTGTGCGTGCGTTCAAACACTGACGTTTCATAGGCTCTGGTTACTGCTGCATGGCGGATGATCCTCTCTCTCTCTCTCTCTCTCTGGCTCTGGCTGTCTCTCCCTCCCTCTCGACCTGCTTGCCTGCCTGCAGAAAACTAATGAATCATGTATAGCTGAATGCAAGCAGTGCAGACACACCAATGCCCTGCAATGTTGACTGGGCGCCGCCTCTGCCTGCCTCTCGCTCTCTGTCTCTCCCTCTGCTGCTCTCTCCATCCCTCTCTCCCTCTCCCCCTCCTCCCTCCCTCCCTCTCGCCCCCAGTTTGTAATCTGACACAGTATACTGCAGTTGTCTCCGGGTGAACCTCGGGAGCCTTGGCACAGCTCGCTTCTAAAGGTAGGCTGAGATTTATTTTTTTCTCCTAAAAATAGCTTCCCGTCTCCCCTCGCCTTTCTGCACCTGAGCCGCAGCGGCGATGATCACAGGGGGTTAGCCGGAAACTCTTTGCCCAGACAAAGTTTATTTTGCAGCGGATGGAGAATGCCCTTCAGCGTGGGGTCCGGGGACGCTGGGTGCGGGGAGCAGCGGCTCGCCCTGCTGGCATCTTGGTGCTGCCTGGAATTCAGGATCGTCTCGGAAGGGAAGGGCTGACCGACTTCTTCCTGGGTGCCGGGTGTCAGCTGCAGGGGTGCTGTGGCTCTGTCATGGCCCCCACCCCAGGCTTTTCAGAAAAGCCCCTCCAGGCAAAGTTTGGCACCCGATGGACACAGTCCCGCTCGCCTGGGGAGTGCGCCCCGGGCGTCTCAGACAGCAGCGGCTCAGGGCCTGGACTTGTCTTCTTGCGGGTGGGGTGGAGTGGGGAAGGGGCCGTGGGACAAACACATCAGAGTCCCCAGCTCGGCTCAGGTGCAAATGCACAAAGCCAGCAGCCTGCACCCAGGAATCTGTCAATTCACGTCCCATGGACTGACTCGAATAATGTGTTTGTCAAAACAGATGTTCCCTGGCAAAGTGTGTGCGTGCATGCGTGTGTCTGTGTGACCAGTGTGCGCGGGCTGCTGGCTGGGGGCAGACTCTCCCAGTGGAAACCGTATTTCACTGGCAAAGGCAGGGTGTCCGGGACCACCTGCCCAGGAGCTTAGGTCTGGGTAGGTCCAGGTGGGGGCCCGGACATCTGTCAGCAGAGGCCTCGGTGGGAGGAGCCTCCCTCCTGTCCCCGGGGAGTGCACGCTGAGGTCGGGGTCAGGGCTGGCTGGGGTCGGGGTCAGGGCTGGCTGGAGGGAGGAGGGAGGGAGGGAGGGAGGACTGCTTCACCTCCTGGCCTGGTCACTGGCCCCAGGGGAGGCAGGGGTGCTGGCTCCATTCCTGCGTGGCTGCTGGGTCCCTGCAGGTTCTTAGGGTGAGCGAGGAGGGAGGGAAGGGGGCCCTGTCCAGCCCCATATTTCTCTCACGGAGGAGCCCTGAAGGAGACTGTGGTCACGAGGGCGAAAACCCCACTTCATCCAGGGAGGGAGAAATGTCACAGATGGAGCAGGCCTGAGAGGAGAGAGAGCGGCTCCCTCTGAAATGGAAGATGGGTGGGAAGAGGAGGTGTCTGGGCTCCCGGGGCCCGTGGCAGGCCGGGCTGCTGGCAGCCTTGTCGAGCTCCGGGCTCCGAGCAGGAGCGGGCAGGGGAGGGAGCTGGTGTGCAGGCTCACTCGCCTGGTGTCTATGGGGAACAGTGGGGGAAGGCTCTAAAAATCACCGCCTCCCCCACGCACATGGCCCCTCCCTGGCTCTCTCCCAGCCTTGCTGGGCTGTCCCGGAATTAGCTTCAGACTCAGCCCCCGCTGGGCGGTGGGGTCTTGGCTTGTGGTGTGAGACAGGATCCCAAGCTCCCAGTGGGATGGGCAGGGTCTGACCGGCTCCGGAGGTTCCTCGGGGGGGCGTGGTGAGGGGAAGGCAGGCGGGCACCGCTTCTGCAGTGGGGGGTGGTGGGGCGTGACTGGGGTCGAGGGCTGTGCCGTGGCCATATGGCAGCTGCCTGGGGCCCAGAGTGGAGCCCTTGCAGGTTATTTCAGGGAAGGCGCTGGCGGCCGCTATTCCCCTATGCCCCTTCCGAGAGGATGGCAAACTGGGTCAGGGAGAGGGTGGCACTGCCCACGTGCCCGGGAGACAGGAAGATGCTGGCGCTGTGGGGGCCGCTCCCCACTCAGGAGGCAGGCGCCACACAGCCCTCCCCAGGGCACAGCAGCTGGCCTCCCCCGTGCTGCAAGCCCGGCAGAGAAACCCAAGCCTGCAGAGTCCGGGGGTGGGCGTGTGTGGTGCGGAAGCTTCCCAGGTGCAGCCGGACTGAGAGCCCCTAGCCGTGAAGATGAAAAGACAAGGTGGGCCCTACACTGTGGCTTTCAGTTTCATCTCTTTGGTCCCTTGCGCTGCTGGCGCCTGGAAGAGACCAGCGTGTACTCAGGGAGCGGGAGGAGAGGCAGGATCTGGCTCTTTCCTGAGCTTGCTTCGCTTTCCATTTCAAATCCACCCCCTGCCACATTTGTATTTTTGGAGTCCCGTTGAAGTTTTAATTGGAGCAGTGATTCTCACATGTTGGTGAGCGCTGGCATCCTGGCGGGTAGGTTAAGGGGCTACAAGTCTCAGATCCTCTGATCCAGCAGGTCTGGGGAGGGGCCGGGAATCTGCATTCCCACACAGTCCCAGGGGAGGTGGAGGCATCCAGGGACCCCGCTTTGAGAATCCTTGAACACAGCATGACCAGGGGGTGCTTTACGCATCTCTGGGACATGTCCTCAGCTCTCTGCTGGCCTTTGGCTGAGGTCATACATGGGGGGTGCTTTACGCATCTCTGGGACACGTCCTCAGCTCTCTGCTGGCCTTTGGCTGAGGTCATACCTGAAGCCGAGTGCGCCTCATAGGTTGGTCTAGACCCGCAAGTGCTAAACCTCAGGGACCAGAGGGCCTCGCCCGCCTGGGAGTTTCATTTGTGTCCAGGAGTCTCCTTAGGGCACGGCAATGAGCATCTGTTCCAGGTGGGCGGATACTCGACGGCTGAATGCTTCCGTGTTTCCCACGTCTGCCCGAAGGTTTGGAATCCGTGTGGTGCTGGGAACCTGGGGGAGAACCGGTCGGCTGTGCTGATCTGTTGTTGATCAGCCAGAGCTGCTGGTTCCAGAAACCTCTGTTCTGCACTCGCCTCATCCCTTGTAGACAGTGGTAGTGCACGGCTTAGCTCCTCAGTTTCTCTTTGGACTTTCACCCATTTGAAAAGCTGACTGATCACCTGTGGGGTGGGAGGAGGCCTGCAACCAGCTGAGGGCACCTGTGTCTCTTGTTGGTGATGCTGGTGCCACCAACCTTGGGTGCAAAGGTTTCGCTGAACCATACTCCTCAGTCCTCCCTCCCTCCTCCTTCCCTCCCTCCCTCCTCCTTCCCTCCTTCCCTCCCTCCCTCCCTCCCTCCTTTGCTTCCTTCCTTCCTTCCTTCTTTCCTTCTTTCCTTCCTTCCTTCCTTCCTTCCTTCGTTCCTTCCTTCCTTCCTTCTTTCCTTCTTTCCTTCCTTCCTTCCTTCCTTCCTTCCTTCCTTCCTTCCTTCCTTCCTTCTTTCCTTCTCTCACTCTTTTGTTCTTTTCTTTCAGTCTCTATCCCTTCTTCCCTTT